TGATTGGCGAGCTCGGTCTTACGAAGCAGGAGGCTCGCTCGATATGGCCTTGGGCGCCTGGGTTGAAATGTCTCAATAATGATGAGGCATCACTCACTTGGCTGATGATTCGTGGGGCCCTCTGGGTCGGCAAGAGACTTTGTTCAGCAGGCTTGGAGAAATATCCAAACTGCCGTCGCTGTACTGGGGATGTCGAGACCATTTGTCACGCTTTTTTTTCAGTGCCTTGTTGAAGGCTTCATGGTTCGCATGCTGCAGGGAAAGTTTTTTGTCCTTGAAGCCAGTTCTGTTTGTAGCAATGTGGTGCCGCAATTGATGAAGGCTGAACATTACCTGTTCTGTTGCTTACTAGGGATTATGAGAGTCGTGATTTGGACGACGCGTCAGAAGGAATTCTATGATCGTGAGAAGTTCACCTCTTCCCAACTGATCTTGTACTTTAAGCATCAGCTTAAAGTCAAGATTAGGACGGAAAGGCGGCGTTTCCCCTCATCAGAATTTGGCAAAAGGGGTGTAAATCTTGCGCGAATGTGTAGAGTGAAAGGGGCTGACCTTGGATGTCGGTTAGGCACAGGATTTTGTCTTATCAGGGTTGAACAGATGCAACCCACCCCGATATTAGGCTAGTTTAGGTTTTTTTTATTTTGAATCTTTAGTTTCTCCTTTTTCTGGTTAACTTAGCTAGGGTATGCATGCCCATTGGTCTCTTTTATTTCTCTCCCTATTTTTCTTTTGTTTAATTCCTCATCCCCTCCCTCGTTAGGTGGTCAGTGATGTCAGTTCTCTGGTGGATGCGGGGCGCCTTTCGTTTCGTGTGTGTGATTTTTTCGTATTTGTTGTTGTGTATGAATGTGTGTGTGCCTGTGTGAATGCTTTGGAGGAATGAATGTTTTCCTTATTTTTCATAGTCCCGCATTGATTTCGTCCGGTTAACTGATATTTCTGCCACATTTAAGGTTTGTGGGGGGTTATTACTAACTCCCTTTTTGTTTAGTTTCTTGTAAATATTTTATGTAATATTGTATATACACATTGGGGATCTTTTAAAAATTGTTATTTTTTATGCCCCTCCCCCCCACGAGCAATATTTGTACATAAGGGGATTATTTAGGGCTTTCATTGAGACGAAGAGGTATTTTGGTGGACGTAGTATGAAAGGTATGGATACTTGTGTTGTTTTGGTGATAGGAGTATTGTTTTGTATGATAGGGTTAGTGGTTGTGGCTAGCTGAGTTTTATGTTAAGACAAGTGATGACCATCCTTTTCCCCCAACCCCCCCTTTTGGCCATGTGCCACATTTGTTGTATTTGCGACAATAAATATTAGATTACATTCTATGCCTAAATGTTTGATACGAATTTCAGTTATCAGCCTACATACGTAATGCCCTTTTGAATTTAGGAACGATCTATTTGGATAAAATGATTTCAAATTTAAGTTTTCAGGTTTAATTGTCCGTCTGATCTCACTATTTAGCAGTCAAATATTTACTTCCTATTTTAAACTGACGTCATTAAGCAAACATTGTGTTACCCTGGCAATATCTCATTACTAAGCAACGAACCAAGCTGTTAATACATTGCCTTTTAATATTTTTAATAATATCTTTTTGTGATATTTTACTTACCTGGCTTATGTCAGAGGGTATCTCCCCGACGAGGCTCTGCCGAAGGACAGAGTCTCGTCCTGGGAAACTGACTCCGTTTTCACGAGGTCTACAGGGAATTTTTGCCTGAGTCTACGGGTTCGGATACCCCACTTTTAAACTCGGCCTTGTGCCACATCTTGCTGCGTGGGGTAGCGGGTAAATAATTATTTTACTTTAAAACAATTATAAGCATTTTATTTCTATAATAAACGCCACTTATCAATATGGATACGTGGTGAATTTAATCAAGTGTGACTCCCAATCTGAGAGTCGGATTTGAATTCTAATCGAGTTTGTTGCGTTAGGTATTGGTGACTCTTTTCTACTAACCATAAACAGCTTTTGAAAAATAGAAGGACAATTATGTTCTTATAGGCTTAATTGGCAACCTGTTTCGGCTGTTGTACGCTCCGGCCTTATTCAGTTGGTTGGAATGTCGAACTGAACCCGTTATTTCGTTCACTGAGGTAAACTGTTCTAGTTCAACGCGCCATGACTCATTGATGTCAGTTATCTCCTGTTAATTCTCATCTCCAATTTCTCCACTGCCTTAACCAGGTATTGAACTCACACTCTTTGGGTCCTGTCACTAGATCTAACTAACGCCTTTATCCACTGTGCCATGTGTCCTTGTTTAACCGTATAGATGAAAAAAAAAAACTAGATTAGTCGATACGTTGTGAATGCGACAATAAGAACATGAACAAATATCCGAACAATGTAACAGTGTAAATAATTCTAGATTAGTCATTCAGAAAATTTGAAAATTAATTAAACATATTCAAGGCATACTTGATAGTTTTTTTTTTTTGTTTTGTACAACCGAAGATTTCGTCTTTTAACATAGCTTAAAATGAAAACAAAATAACTTTAGGATACAACTACAGTATTTATATATAAATATGTTGAAATATCAATGTATCCATACTAGCCCCAGAAAAATGAACACGTGACTTCTTCTCGACCAATGAAAACAAAACAACCTAGAAAGCCTAGAACCGAAATATTTTAAAAAGTTCGATAAAGAGCGAAAATGGCAAATTTATGCGTCTTCCTATTTCTTTCATAAACACATGTATATGTGTTATTTAGTTTCTGCCGTGATTTTTCAAGTGTAATGAGTAAACATATTTGATTACCCACCCCCATAGCTCTCTCTCTCTCTCTCTCTCTCTCTCTCTCTCTCTCTCTCTCTCATATGTCCACCTGTGAATTTTGCAAACCATCTTCTGCAAGTTCTTTCATTCATACATTCCTCTCCATAAACTGAGTGAATGTTTCTAGCCGCTTCGGCTGCTGACTTTCCTTTCTTGAACTCATAAAGCATTATGTGCCTGAAATGATTCTTGGGTTCTTCCATGTTAGCAAGGTTTTAATCAAACAACATTTAATTTTATTATTCTCTGAAATAAAATTTGATGAGTTTAAATGCATCTAAACATAAAAATAATGTTCAGCTCCATTAGACATTATAAAATACACTTTAAATTTCGTTCATTTTAACAAAAAGTTAAAATTCGGACAGAACTTATGGGATGACATGATATATATATATAAATATATATATATATATATATATATATATATAGTGTATCGGGACAGCAGATCATTATTCAAACATATATTGTTAAATATAACAGACAATGAATGTTTATTATGTTTGATCATGAATCGCTCAAAGCTTCGTATAGTGGCTTTAGTTTCATGAGAAAATAAAGTCAAAACATTTGGATATTTTTATTATGCTGTTCCTCGAGCTAGGCTTTCAACTCACATGTGATATCATCAGAATTGTTATATGGACATTATGACAGATATATTCACCGTCAAAGATCATATCATGTTATGTTTACATAGAAGTTTATGCGATGAAATATATATCCTTTGATGAATGCAATGGGTAAGTTGCCAAAAGCTGAATCACTTATCCAGATACAGTCTGGAATAAAACGGACAATACTGAAAAGAGAAAGAGAAAAAAGGCCTAAAGGCAAACTCACCTACTTAGTAAAATGCTCGAATCTTTGATTAGACCGAGTATAAAACGCTTACCAACATTAAATCCCAATGTTATATGACAGTTCACCAGACTATAATTTTTTAGAATTTACTATCTCTACTCAGATTTCCTGAAGTTGATATTTGGGGTCAGATGGAAGACGAGAACAAGAAAGTTGATTTTGACTGACTTAAAGAGTGTGAGAACGAGAGATAGAGAAAGTGTTTTCTATATATATTTTCTTCTAAGCCGTCAAACAATGTAGACGTGTTTTCTTTCGTGTCTGGAACTGCTCCCCAGTGGAGTGAGAGAACGACCTCATTGGATACTTAGAAGATGAATACCGCAACATTAATAAAATAGTTAATTTAAAATTCCCTGAGTTGATGCTCATTTGTATCTGAACTCAAACCAACTAAAGATAGCCGGCCGAGAGAAAAAAGGCAACATTATTATCGAATTGGCGCCGTTAATCTACAGCATTAAGATATAAAATTCAGCCGATCTATATATATATATATATATATATATATATATATATATATATATATATATATATATATACAGAGAGAGAGAGATTGAGAGAGAGAGATTGAGAGAGAGAGAGGTAAAAATTTTTGTTAAAAAGATTCTGTAGAAAAATCACAAATTTTACTGTCTTCCCATTCTACTAATGCGACTACAGAACCATTGAACAAACGCGGTTTAATAAGGAAACATTTCTCACCAAGTTCAAATCCATACTTAATTCATTGCATAAAAAGATTCTACCAAAATTTCTTTACCATAAACGTTATATATAGCCAGATACGCCTCTTGATTTTCATTTTCTTTCATTGGTACAAAATATAAGCATCAACACGTGAAGACAGGAATAGTTAAAGACTTTTTGAAATGCTAAACGAAGCCGGTTAAATAAAAAAAATGTTTTAAAAAGCAAAGCAACAAATTATTTTTCTGAGAAAAAAACACTGAAAATCCAATTGTAAGTAACAATGTTTTAATTATTCTCTGTAAAATTTCATATATTATATATATAAATATCACTATATTAAATATTAGGTGCCTTTAATTCCAATTCTCTTTTTCTGTCTCTTATCAACTCTTTGCAGGCTATTTAAAGCCAGAAAATATTTTAAAACTGCTGTGTTTTATTACATGAGAGATAATAATGATTTATTGATACAAGTTTTAATAATTAACCTATAGCTGCGGGTAGAATAGGTGGATTCATACCTTTCCAAAGTTTATTTGCGTGTAAGCGAATATAACGAATCAAAGTGGAACTGGAAGTCGACTCACCAATTAAAAATTCCAAGCAATTATACTTCACACCCTCCGCGGATCTAAACCTACAGCAATTAGTATTCCAAAGCTGTCACCCATCTAGGTACTGACCAGGTTCAATGTTGCTTATCTTTGCTGATCGTACGAGAACCGGTGTTTCAACCTGATGCTGTCGACTGTATGCCCTATTACTTTAGAAATTGCACACAAACACACACACACACACAAACAATGTGAAAAATATATAGAAATTAGAAAAGAACTCGTTAGGTAAATAATCCAAAGTTCTTTAGTATTTTTGTTATTATTTTTAAAAAATAGTGCACGATACAAAAGTAGAGCATATGTGTGTGTGTGTGTGTGTGTGTGTGTGTGTGTGTGTGTGTGTGTGTGTGTGTGTGTGTGTGTGAAAATATATAGAAAATAGGAAAGAACTCGTTAGGTAAATAATCCAAAGTTCTTTAGTATTTTTGTTATTATTTTAAAAAAATAGTGCTCGATACAAAAGTAGAGCATAAATATAATTATTTATTTAAAAATATGATTCCAACACGCTAAATAAGAGTTCTCATGTTTCAAAACAAGAGCCGAAAACTTCAATATAATTATTTGAATTAAATTGAATTAAAGTACCAAGCTCTGTTCCATCTTCAAGCGGAATTTTTTCTGGAATAACTTATTTCTGAAATTTACGCGTTTTATAAGCATATTCATTATTGAAATCAAAATTTCTATGGTAACGGCTAGAGCAATTGTTTAAAGAAAAGGGGCGTAAGGTGTTAATAATTTGTATCAATATCTCAGTTACATTCACAGATGTCAAGTCAGGGTAAGGTTGGGGTGTCTAAATTTAAAGCGGAAGATGACATCGTCTAGACTGGTTAAGTGTCTATGGAGATTTATTTATTTTTTTTATTTTTGTGTATATAAAAACTGTCGTAAATAGCTAACATTTGTTTTTTGACGACTTCATAAAGGGTTCTCTTTTTTGTAGGGCATTTAAACTATTTATTAGGACTAATAAATAGTTGAAGTTTTCAGCTCTTGTTTTGAAACATGAGAACTCTTATGTAGCGTGTTGGAATCATATTTTTAAATAAATATATATATATATATATATATATATATATATATATATATATAAATTCACAGGAGGATAGAATCCAGGTAGAACTCAATATCCAGGACACAGTAATAATATAATAAAAAAGCTCAAACTAATATTCCATGATTATAATTTATTACATTGGAATCGTAATCACGATCCAATTCATCAGACCTACAAATTAAAAAAAGAAATAGATAAATATAACTCCGGGTTTAACATTTTTTTTTTAGTGAGAGTGTATGTGGGAGTGGGAAACAATTGTGAGAAGGAAATGTATGAAAGGTCTAGAGAGGGGTAACAGTAGAAAGAAGAACAGGAAACCCTAAAGGTGGAGGTGGGGATTAAAATTTAATAGAGAGAAGTTTTAAAGAGAGGAGTTAAATAACGGTTTAAATGAGTGAGATACAGATAAATATGAATTATGTTCCGTTGCATATCAGGGTTCTTGATAGGCTCCAGAGGCGGATATGCAATATAATTGGCCTTCTTCTGGCATCTCGTCTACAGTCACTCTCTCACAGATGTGCCGTCACCTCTTTCTGTCTTTTTTTACAAATACTTTCATGGTAATTGCACCGAGGAGCTGCATTCGCTGGTTCCCAGACTTCATGAGTTCAAGCGCCCTACGAGGCTGGCATCCCGCTCTCACCCTTTCACTGTCGAAACTCCTAAATGTAGCCGTCTCTTCTACTCCAATAGCTTCATGTCTCTCACCTCTCGCCTGTGGAACTCCCTTCCCTATTCCAGTTTCCCTGATAGCTATAATCTCCAACTTTACAAATGTAATGTCAATCGACATCTTCAGCTGCCTTGATCTATCCACTATCCTTCTCCTCATCCTTTCCTCTATCACTCCTATCTGATCTTGCTCTAAATTTTCTGTAACTCCTTGCGTCCTAGTGGCTTCCCGCCTTGCTTGAGGTGAAACGCTTAAAAAATGCACTTGTCTGTGTGAGTAACATTTTACAGGTCATATTTGAATATTCTAGTGCAGAATATAATATGTATTCAGACGCAACATACTTTTTAATTAGTTTCAGTTATTCTATTTGTTCTTTTTGCAGTGTTATGGCATTAGTATTACGGATATACTAAAGCGTGATGTGGGCCTTGGAGAGTGGCAAAACAGAGATCAGTATTCTCTCTTCCTAAGTACCTACTCTCTTATAAATATTTCTATATCATGTCTCTGAGAAAGCGGTAAACAATTGATCAAAAGAAAAGTCTCACCAACGTAACTCCAAAATCACTAACAGAGTCTGCTGCACTCATAAAATACAGAATGATATTAGATCAGATTAATTAATTAACCATTAATATTAATTATTAATTAATAATATATATTAATTATTAATTAATAATATATATTGCTAAATAATGACGATCTTCCGATTTTAAAAGCATTCCATAATTTACAAAAGAATTTCTATTCAAGAAGAGAAAGAAATGTAATGAAGGGATAAAGGTGTTAATTGAGATTTCGTATTCTGTCTCTATTGAAAGGATTGTGTGACATTGTTGCGTTGTAGTTTAATGAGTTGGCGTGCCAATGGGAAATTTTAGAGTGCAGAAGAAAGGCCGCAACACGGTGAACTGTTTGATTTGCTGACAGTTTGCCAAGTGAAAGTGAAAGTAGAATAGCATGTCAGACAACGTCATCGTAAGCCAAAGTCAATGTACTTCTCTTGCTCTAGTTTCAAGCCGTCGGCTGAAACAGGACATTGCTCATCAAGCAATAAGCTAGTTTACTTACATCTTATTAATGTCGCCACGAGGGGATATTTGATGAACACTATATCCTTTAGCTTTCGTAACAACTATCTCTGTTTATTCGGATCTATCTAGCTAGGTAGCGAGCTGGCTAAGTCTCTTCATATACCGTATCTCTGTTAGTTATGTATCTCAATCTGTTTCAAATTATTTCTAATCTATCTATCTATCTATCTATCTATCTATCTATCTATCTATCTATCTATCTATCTATCTATTCCAGTCTGTTCAGATGTATCTATCTTTGCATGTCCAAATCTATCTATCTATCTATCTATCTATCTATCTATCTATCTATCTATCTATCTATCTCAGTCTGCTCAATATCTATCTATCTATCTATCTATCTATCTATCTCAGTCTGCTCAATCTCTCTCTCTCTCTCTATCTCTCTATCTATCTATCTGTTCCAGTCTGTTCAGATGTAGCTATTTCTGTTGAAATCTATCTATCTATCTATCTATCTATCTATCTATCTATCTATCTCAGTCGCATTTTCTTCAAATGTATTTATCTATATCTATCAAGCAGGTTTGACCTTCATGACTAGGTCTCACGATGCTACTTACATAGTAAAAAATCACCCAGCTCCCTTTTGAATTTCGTCGGCGAGAATTAACAGCTTTTTCCCCGCGGACCACTGGCCTATGGAACTAACTCTCTGGAGGATGTTTCCCCGATCACTACAATCTTATTTTGTTCAAGTCTAGAGTCAACTGTAATGATCTCCTCCTACCCATATAAACTACCCCTTAACGTAACCCTTTGCCTCGAGTGGCTCCGGTCTTATACAGAGTGAACCTTACTGTAAAACAAATCCACTCCCTTCTGTTCGATCTATCTCGTTCAAATCTATCTATCTATCTATCTATCTATCTATCTATCTATCTATCTATCTCAGACCGTTCAGATATATCTGTCTGAATGTTAATAAATACACCTGCTAAACTGGATATTCCTATTTATCACCGCAAATATAAACGTTTATTGTGAAAAAAATATCTCGGTTTTATTGTTTATATATATATATATATATATATATATATATATATATATATATTGCATTTTATTGATAACATATGATAGGCATCTTATGTCCCAACGAGATATGTGAATTGCATAAAAGGCAAAATCCAGTATTGCATTGCTGTATACACATCCGAGACCAAACGGTCAAGCACACCTGGCTGAATGTTTCGCTATATAGTGATTTTCCTAGCGTAGCTTAGATGTGGCACAAGGCCTAAATTAGGGGCATCCAGAGAGGATCGACTGTTTTGCTATATATAGAGGGAGCGAGTCCAAGAAGAACTTGTATTACTACCACAGAGAAAAGGCGATGGTTAAACAGGAAAAAAATAAGAAAAAATTAATTTCTTTATATAATATGTAGAAATAACCATTCTTCGCCAGACGAACGTCGCAAGAGCCGAAACATACGTAGCAAAAATATGGAAAATAAACTATAATATATAAAAAAATCGGCATCATAACCAAAAACGATAGCGGCTTCATTGTCTTAATAAATATGTATATATAGGGTGATTTAAAAGTAACCCCTATCTTATGTATGATGAAATTTCCCGTCAGGTAAAAATTATTCTTAGCTGGTATATTCCATTATCCATAAAATACAGAGGTATGTGTGTGTGTGCATATATATATATATATATATATATATATATATATATATATATATATATTCGAAAATTATAACATAAATATGTTATAAAATCACTAAAAAATAGCACTTCTGCTGTCTTAACAAGTAATTGATGTTGAATGTCCAATAAACGGTTTGAAAAGGTTCAAATCAATCAAACACCTCTCGCTAAGAGGAAACGCTGAATGACCAACACAAAATATAAGTATACGAGAATTCAAATAACCTGAAAACGAACTAAGGTTATAATAATTATTTAATGCTTTAATGTTGCGGTTCGAATAAAATAGAATTTATTCTAACTAAGAGACATTAAATTATACGATAAAATTTGAAATAAAAATTAAAAAGTACCAATTTTAAGATTTAAATTTAATCTATATTAAGTTTAAATTTATAAAATTATTGAAGAAAAATACATATGTTATTCTATTTATTTTGTTTTTATTTAAGTTGGAATAAACGTTAAAATGAAAGGTGCTCTGAACTTCATAACAACATAGATAGATTTGAATCATAAACAGAGACAGGGGAGGATAACACCTTGCAAAAGACAATACACCCACAATCAGATTATAATACATAAGCACGCAGACGTATTTAGATATAAATACACACAAAAAA